GAGGGGCAGTGGGAACGGAGACACACGTGGGGCCATTGCCCCCGGAGCGACGGCGGAGCTGGCCTGCACCGGGGCGAGGAGCAGGGCGCCCCGGGCCCGCGTGGGGAGAGGCTCCCCGGGAGGCTGTGTTTGCGTTTCCAGGGCGATGCGCTGCTGGCGAGACTCTCGGCTTCAGGCCTCAGTGTGGCTTTGATGGGTTTAATGAGGCGTGAAAGGGGGCTCGTCCCAGCGAGGCCTGGTGCTAAATGAACCCCGGCTCGCCCATACAGCAGGCCCGGGCCTGCTGCGTGATGCCGCCCCCCTGGTGGCCCCTTTGGTGCCTGGGCAGCACAGGCGGGGGCAGCAGGGCATGGGGCAGGAGCCCCGGCTGTGCCGTGGGGGGGACCCTGCGTTGCCGAGAGCGGAGCCTCTACTAATTCCCCGCCCCGGCCAAGCCAGCAACCCCGGCCCCAGGAGCCAAGAACCTCGCCATGGCCGTTGGGTGTTGATTCCCCAAAGCCTCCCGCTCTGAGCTGCAGCAGCGAGGCCCCGGGGCCTCCCCTGGCGGGGGCAGGCGGCCCAGGAGCTGGGGCTTTTTCCAGCCATGGCCTCCGCTGTCCTTGTTCCTGCCCTCGGGCCGCGGGTGCCATGGCTGCCTGTTGTCATGGAAACAAGTGCTGTCGAATGGTGCCGGTGCTGGGCTGGCATCAGCCTGCGAGCCACGTGCACGCTGGCCGTGGGGGGAAGGGGGCCACCGCTCTGCCCTTGGCGGGTGGAAACCAGCCCGGCTGGCCCCGCTGACTGCACTCGAAGCCATCTGTCTGCGCTGGCCGGGAGCCCGCCAGCAAGGTGCCGTTCCTGACCCTGCCGGGCAGCGCTCCCACCCAGTCACCAGCAGCCCGTGGCATGGGGCCGGCTGGCAGCAGCGAGGCCAGGGGCTCGGCCGCGCTGGTTCATGCCCCCTTGGGCCCAGGAGCCAGGCTCTCCCGGCCTAGCGCTACTTAGGCATTGCACGGGCTTGTTCTCAGTGGTGCCAGAGTAAACGCTAATGATCCGACCTTGCCACCCTATAGCACCCTCTGGGACCCTGCAGGGCACCCTGCGTTTAGGATACTCGTGTCTCCTCACGCTCACCCTGCTGCGGGCGGACGCCCGGCGTGGCAGGGATAGGCACTCGGCGCTGGGCTCATCTCCCCGCAGCTTGCCCTGTGCCCATGGCAAGCCCCCGGCTGCCGCGCCTGCGGGGAGCCCTGGCACAGCCCCCGGCTGGGTTTGTTGTTGTTGCTGTTAAGCTGCCTTAGCCCTGCCGGGGGGTGGAGGCACCAGCTGGCGAGGGGGAGGTGCGGCTCGCTTGGCACCACTTCTCTGTGAAGACGGGAGCCAGGAGCTATATCTGGGCTCCCGCGCTCGCCTTCCCACTGAATGGCGAGGGGCAGGGCGTAGCCAGCTCACCCAGCCGGGAGGAGGGGCTGCAGCCCGCGTTGGCCACCGTCACGGGCGCGGGGGGTGGGCAAAGCGAGGAGGGGCCCTCAGGAATAGCAGCAGGACGTGGCCGCACAGGGGGACTCCCGGGCACTTTCCGTGGGGTCACCCCGGGGTTGGCGACGTGGCTCTGCTTGGCATGGGGGGTTCCGGAGGCTGGAGGGGAGCAGGGCCAGTGCTGGTGATGTACGACGCATCCCCTAGCCCTGGCCCTTCCTCGCCCCAACTGCCCCCTCTGCATCCTAGGTTCATCGATCCCAGGGCCGGAAGGGACCGTTGTCCTCAGCTGGTCTGACCTCCTGTGTGACCCAGGCCAGGGACCTGCCCCACAGTAATCCTGAGCAGATCAACAGCCAGCCTTGATTTTTAAATGATCCACCATGACCCCTGGTGAATTGTTCCAAGGGTTAATTACTCTCACCATTAAAAACTTACCCCTTATTCCAGTCTGAATTTGTCTAGCTTCCACTTCCAGCCACTGGATCCTTTATACCTTTCTCTGCTAGATTGAGGAGCCCGTGATTAAATATTTGTTCACCATGAAGGCAGGGCCGACGAGACGGGGGGGAAGCCAGTACAAATTACCGGGGCCCGGCGGTCCGGAAGGGCGCCTGGGGCCCGGCTCCCCCCCCCGCCTCGTCGCCTTACCGGGGCCCGGTGGTCCGGAAGGGGGCCTGGGGCCCAGCTTCCCCCCCCCGTTGGCCCTGTTTAGCTGGTCCGCCCTTGCTGGGGGGGCCCGAAAAAAATTTTCACCGGGGCCCAAACCTGCTCTCGGCGGCCCTGCATGAAGGTACTTGCAGATGGTGATCAGATCACCCCTTAACCTGCTCGTTGGTAAGAGAAATAGATCGAGCTCCTTGAGTCTCACTGTCAGGTAGGTTTTCTAACACTTTAATCATTTTCATTGCTCTTCTCTGACCCCCCTTTGATTTATCAACCTCCTTCCTGAACTATGGGTACCAGAACTGGACCCAGGAGTCCAGCAGCGGCCATGTTCGCTCTTTTGCCACAGCGTCACACTGGGAACTCGTTCAGCTGATTATCATCCCCTGCCCCCAAATCTTGAGTCTCTGCTTCCCGAGGTAGAGTCCCCATCCTGTAAGTGTGGCCTGCATTCTTTGGTCCTAGCTGGCTTGTGACGGAGCAGGGAGCGGGGCGGATTTGACCTGGGAATGTTGCAGGGGAGTTACATTGGGGATGGAGGACTTCCCTTGAAGGAAGCTACCTGAGCTGTAACCGGAGCCAGGAGGGGGGTTGGGAGAAGTGACACCTTCTGCCCGGGAGACTGGACAAAGGAGAGGAGCAGCAGAGGGGAGGGGAGAGAGAGCTGCCGGAGGAGATTTTGTTTTCAGTCTTGGGCTGGGTGGAGGAACGCAGGGAACCCCAAGCTGGGGTCTAAGCTCCCTGAACCCCCCAGAAGGACTTGATTGAGGGGTTCTGGTTGTACCTACACGCTCTGCTTGGGACTGTGTTCCTGTCATCTAATAAACCTTCCGTTTTACTGGCTGGCTGAGAGTCACGGTGAATCTCAGGAAGAGGGGTGCAGGGCCCTGACTCCCCCATACTCCGTGACATGGCTCCGTTGACATTTGGCCATATTAAAACACACAGTGTTTGCCAGCACCCAGTTTACCAAGTGATCTATCACTCTGTATCAGTGACCTGTCCTCTTAGCTATTTACCACTCCCCAATTTTTGTGTCATCTGCAAACTTTATCAGTGGTGATTTTATGTTTTCTTCCAGGTCGTTGATAAAAATGTTAAATAGTGTAGGGCCAAGAACAGGTACCTGTGGGACTCCAGTGGAAGCGAGCTCCTCGGCCAGCTCTTTTAAAACTCTTGGATGCAAGTTATCCAGACCTGCTGATTTAAACATGTCTGACTTTATTAGCTGCTGTTTAACATCCTCCAGAGATGCTAGTGGAATGGAAAGCGAGTTATCTTATGACACGACTACATCATAGGTTTTTCCCGAAATACAGAACAGAAATATTTATTGAACGCTTCTGCCTGTGACGATGCTGCCTGTGGGAGCCCGCTGAGGTCACTCAATTAGGGTGAACTGCAAACAGAACGGGGCAGACAAACCCCAAAAGCTGGTGGTTATTCCAGTACTTAGATTTACCAAGCCAGCCCAAAACAGCTTCTGTATTACCATACAGGTTACTCAGAGTCCAAACAACGCAGTTCCCTTAAAGTGCCCAGCCTCAGGCCTCCATCCAGACACACCTGTCAGATATGATGATTACTGAAAATCTTATTTCATCATATAAAAGAAAAGGTTCTTCCAATCCCAAAGGATCAGCCGCATACCCAGGTCCAATTATAACTTAGATCTTACCCAAAATACACGCTTATAGCCAATTCTTATTAACTAAGTTAAAATTTATTAAAAAAGAAAAGAGAGTGTTGGTTAAAAGACAGACAGACTTGAATTCAATTCTTGAGGTTCAGATACATGGCAGAGGTGAGCTTGTAGTTGCCAAAAGTCCTTTTAGAAATAGTCCATAGGTTATAGTCCAATGTCCATATTCAGGGTGGCTCCAGTCAATGACTGGGGATCTCAATCCTTACGGCTTAAGGTTTCCCCCTCTTGAAACCCAAAGCAGATCTGAGATGCAGCAGGATCGTGTTCCAGGGTTCTTATACATTTCCAGCAGCCTTGTGGCCTGAGAAAACAATAGGCTTAATTCTCCTTCTTCCAAACATCCTGGCAATTAGCACAGGGTAATTTATCCATTAAACAGTTCAGATACAGGTTACCACAACCTTCAAAGAGACATAGGGACAATAATACTATTTCCCTCAAGTGCCTTCCTAAATGTTAATACTCCTTTTTTTGATCTTTGAATCAAAGCTATAGCAATAGACAAGACTTGTTTACTTTCATCACAAGCCCTGAGCAAACACCTCCCCTTCTACCTCTAACAATCCAGACTTTACATTTCAAAGCTCTGTTCATTTACAGATCCTCCTAACCAGGCTCTAAAGTTCGGCCATGGGTAGGTCAGTCTGGGAGCTAATTAACTCTTTCTGGCCCTGTCACCTTTCAATGAGATATTATATCACTGATAACGTCACGCTGCCTTTGCTGCATTATTACTGAGAATTCTACCATTTCCATTTAGTAATGGATCAATGCTATTGTTAGGATTCTCGTTGTTCCTAATATACTTACAAACTCCTTCTATTTCTGGCTCAGCAAGGATGGGGGCGTTGCTAGTTGTTAGAGCAGGAAGGGGAGAGCTGGGAGCTGAAATTCCTGGGTTCCAGCCCAAGCTCTGGGAAGGGGCGGGGGGGTCTAGTGGTTAGAGCAGAAGGGCCTGGGAGTCAGGACTCCTGGGTTCTATCCCTGGCTCTGGGAGGAGAGTGGGGACTAGTGGGTTTGAGTGGGGGTGGGGCTGGGAGCCAGGACTCCTGGGTTCTATCCCTGGCTCTGGGAGGGGAGGCTCAGAATGGAAATGCTTCCCAGGACCCCTCCAGGGTGCTAACCTGGCCCTGGGGGGGTGGGGTCTGTTTGCTTCTTTCCAGACAGCAACTTCATCCTGGCCAACGCTCAGGTTCACCGCGGCTTCCCTATCGTCTACTGCTCTGACGGCTTCTGCGACCTCACCGGCTTCGCCCGCACCGAGGTCATGCAGAAGAACTGCAGCTGTCGCTTCCTGTACGGGGCCGAGACCAGCGAGTCCGTCCTGCAGTGCATCGAGAAGGTGCTGGATGGGAGGCAGGAGTACCAGACTGAGGTCTGCTTCTACAAGAAGGGCGGTGAGTGGGGCGGTGGGCGCGTGGCTCGCTGCACTCCCGGGGGCCAGCCCCGGCCCATACACCACATGGGTCCCCCGAGCAGAGGAGCCGGCTCCAGGCCCTTAGCTTAACAGCACGTCTGCTCCCAACGCCCCAGGCCTTTCACGTAACCCCATGGGTTCAGTGTGTGTCCTGTGGCCCTCTCTAGTGGCTGGCTGATGTGGGGATAACAGCCTACTACTGCTACCAGGTCCTAGAGTTACTCCTGTAACTCACTTCTTAGAGCCTCCTGCTTTTGCGGCTGAAGCTGCAGAATTGGGTCCCTGCTGGCTGTGGGGATGGGGGGGTTGTGCGCCAACCCGGTCTCGTAACGGGAGCGGTGCTGACTAGCCCTGCCCGGCGGCGGTGGGGGGCACTGGCCTTGGGGGCGTTTCCTGGCTCAGCTCTTTCCCCTCCTCCCCGCAGGAGCCGCCTTCTGGTGCCTGCTGGACATCGTGCCCATCAAGAACGAGAAGGGGGAGGTGGTTCTCTTCCTCGTCTCCTTCAAGGACATCACGGAGAGCCGGGGCAAGAGCCACCCGGGCGACAGGAGAGATGGTGCGCCCTGGCCGGGGGCAGGAAGCATGTGGGGCTGGGGGGGAGAATGCCAGGGGGTGGAGTTGGGGTGTGGAGCAGGCTGGGGGGAGGGGACAAGCCAGTGTGGTCCTGGTGGCATCTGCTCGGAGCCAGGCTGGCTCCCCGTGGCCCTGGCTCCCGAAGGCCGGGCCCTTTCCTGAGGGACCCGCCAGCCCGGATGCTCCCTGGATAGTCGTCGCTCGCTCAGGTGGTGAGGAGTGTGAATGAGAAGGGGGA